CGAATTATATTTTCCCTAACTCAATTCAAATTTTCAACTTCCAATCATCTGTAGGTATCTATACCAAATTTAATATAATCCTGCACACAGTAATACTTCGCTGAAAACTATTAGGTCAATGAGTACTTATCGAATCGAGTGAAGTTCGTAATTCCTTGTTTATTGAAAACAATTTGCAATTGCTGGTTGGTTAACTATTTACACAAGATTGATATTTATAAAATTACTATTCCTAGAATTCATTTTGTATTAGACGGAGATTACTCATCTATTATATAAACATTAATTATAATGGAACGGCAAAGGAATTAATAATTAATAGTACCTACTAATAATATTTGCCATTTTTATAATATTGTTGAACGTCACATTTAGCTTAATTCAGTCCATATGTATTATTTGGTGTTGAAACGAATTTACCTTATATTTAATTTTTATTTTATGTTCAAATTTACCTGTATGTGAAGTTTATATACTATATATTAAATTTTATATCATATTCAAATATATACATACTTCACTGGATGTCGATATTCTTTGATCTTCAAAGAATATGGCCATCACCAAAATTTTATTCGTGGCAAATTTACGTACACGAAAAGAAAAGTGAGGGCAGCAAGTAAAGAAGATGTATTCACTCTTTTTATTATATCTGGCCTGGCCCGGCGGTGTTCGTTATTATAAATATTTTAGCAGTTTCACTCTCGACCGTACGTGATAACGGCTACCAACTACGCGGATAAACTCAGCGCGTTGACAATAATAGGGGTGACTTCATACACGAATTCTGTAATTTATTACGAACATAATCTGTTTACATGATCTTTATCTTAACTAATAAACACCTAATGTGTTACTAAAACGGCTATAAACTTCTAATATAATTAGAATATAACTTTGTAAACAATAGTGTATAACAAACTTTATTTATCTGAAGCATACTAACTTAGGTGTAGTTTGTTTACCTTTATGTGACATATTAAGTAAAGAATCTCAGTATGTCATTTTATAATTAGTCCTTCAAAAATCCAGGTACAAAGAGAATACAATACTTGTTTTTTGCTCTTGTTCTTTTTGTTAACTTGTTCATTTTAAAAACTGTTATTTCCTTAAAAAACACACATACAATAACAGTATATAACGTATTTAGGTAGAGGAGAAATCGTTTTTTTATATATTTATTATATACCACAGTTACTTGTAGAGAGTATCTTATATCACTTACTATAAATTGTATTAAATTACTAACTTTTTCATTAAATTATTCTTAATTATTATCTTCTTGTGTACTATGTGAATGTTGATATATAATATTGTTGATATATATATCTATTGTATAAGAATTATTTATTATATATTATGTATGTTATTATCACAGATCATTTATAAATTACTGGATATTTATGAATTATAATTGCATAAAGATTTTGTATTAGATATTTACAAACGTATTCTAATTTTATAATCTATATTATAGGTATTTATAAATGTATAATATATATACAAATAACTCAAAAAAATAAAGTAATATTGAGTTAGTACAGATCTATTGATGTTTTGTAATATAGTGTGTGTATTGAGTAGTGGAATTTTAAAATGATATTTGGCTTTTGGTCTTTTTACGAATTATTTTATAATATTTTTTTTATAATTATAATAAAATTATATATAATTTTTCACTTTTCCTACAATAGTTATCCAGTAATTGTGCAGATAATTTATAAGCTAACATAGATCGGAATTAAATGTTATAAAAATAGAGGTATTAATTTTTTATAGTCTACGCAGACGAGAGTGAATTCTCACCATTAATATTTTTCTCCAGAAGACTTACACAGACGGGAGATTTAATCCCTAGTCTGCGGATGCCAAAAATTACAATATTTAGAAACCCATACTACCATTTGTTTATAATACAGTTGCTATCTCTGTGCAACTAATCTATACAACATAAAACGTATTCAATCACAACGGAAAATATTATACTCCGCCAACAAACGCGGATAAAATCCCCCTCGTCTACGGAGCATAATATGGTCTGTTATGTGTGTTATATAATAATACATATAATATATATTTATTTTTTTATCGAATTTTATTGTAGTTATGTTAGCAGTTTTGAAATAAATTTCTTTTTAATCTGTATCATTAATGCTGTATTTAATTAACACACCATCTTTTAACACCTTTGTTCCTATGTCCTGTACACACAATTCTACAGTTCCACATGCATTAGCCCTTAAGCACATACACATTGATATTGAATTGACACAAATAATAATCTAACAATATTTGTCTTGAATACAATATGCAATACACTTAGGTAATACCTATCTTGAAGTGACTGTAACCAACATCCATTAAATTAAGTTATATTCCTGAATATTTTGACAGGCTTATCAAATATTAAATCACTTATCAGGGCTTTCAGAATTATTGGTCTATTAAATTTCTACGAGTAAACTGATATAATTGTTGTAATTCTATACTAATTAACCACAGTAGTTAATTAGTTTGCAAAAATGTAACATGTAATTAGACACACTGGGTTATCTCAGTGTCACAATGTGTCTACACTAGGTTCAGACGTCTTAACAATTAAACTACCATCCCTAAGATACAAATTTCGAACAATGATCTCCCTCAAATAGATAGTTATTAACGAAAAGGCGAGTTTCTACAGATGTCCTAGCGCATTTCGGAAATTGTAGCAAGCAAATACATCAAGGTTTTAATAAATCGAGTAGTGTGACAGCGTAATCTCAAAGGTAGGTAGGAGCCTCCCTTGTCACCTTAAAATTTGACAGACACCGCATTTTTTGCCGTAAATAAATAATAAGCGAGTAGATCAACTCTGGTTAACACTATTTTTGTTCTATAATAAGTTTTCATAGTTGCATTATAAAAACAAATACATAAATAAATAAGCATCATGAATTATTACATAGATTTCCTCACTTGTACTTGTAATCTAAGCATGTAGCATAAAGCAATTCACAGAAATATTCTTGTTTTCAGTGTATCTTCTATGGTAGACTTGCAGTTCTATTTCTATTGTATCTGTGACATTTATCCTTTAGAAACTTCACCTTTTTCCATGGAAATGGACCAGTTACTGGTAGGTAAACTATATACTTGTAGAATTGAATTAAAATAAATTATAACGAAATAAAACACAATCTTTTCCAGCACTAAAATCAGAAGCTTACTGCTTAGAAATAGTGACAAAATAGTTGTTCTATTGAATGAAAGTGTAATATTACTTCTTTTATATAAAAAAATATAAGTAATGAAACAGCACAGAATCATAAAATTGACATATTGAAAATGTATTTACTAAATATTATATTAATTTATTAGTCGTAGTCACCAGTTAGTAATGGCAACTATTGCTAGTAATGTACTATCATCAGGTCGACCTTCACTCTATGCCCGCTGTAGTAGGTACATCATGGTTAAGTCCTGTCACGATTGACTACCTGATCTGACTTCATGCTACTCTTATTGCCGTATCCTCCACTGGTCCCCTGTCAGCGTATACCGATACACTATATTAATATCATCCCTAAAAAACCTCTGCGGCAAAGTTTATATTTGAGTGACCTAGTCCCTATGTAGATAGACCTGATATTTATAAAGGTTGTTAAAATAAGAGCTAACAGCTTGCTGGGCCGCCATGAAGGTCTCACGTCACTAAATTTAAACTAACAATAATGTATAGTATAATAATGTATCTACATAATAAACGCGCAATCCCGTTTTGCTTATCATAATGTGAATAACGTTCGTGAACACCAGCTTTGTTTGTATTAAATTCTATTAATTGCAATTTTGCGTAACTGGATCCCACTATAATATTAATATAGCAAGGTTTTAAACCAGTAGCTACGTAAGTAGTTCCCTACCTATTACGAAATGTTCGATTCCCATATTTGGTAATTGATATTGACTTAATGACATTTAAGTCACTCATTTCTAACTAGTGTGGAAGAAATAAATCAATATGGTAACGAATAGCACGATATGAATATTTTAGACATATCTTTTATTTTAAAATTATCAACATTGGTTCGGAATAGGGGGAAGGAAGCGAGTAACATACTATACCTATTAAAATCCTGCTGTAAGGGATTGAGCATGAGTGATTTCATATAAGATGAAGCACATATTTTATTGCCCTCTCAATACCACGTCAATTTTTATTCTTTTGCAGTATTATTTGTTCTCCAAATCGAGTCTTATGACATTCTGGAAATGAATAGAAGTAGTGCCATGTGCTTACTACATCACGACAATTTGAATTATACATACGTGCAACATATGCTAATTAAATCAGTAAAGTTTTTCACTGAGAAAAAAATATGTGAAAACCCATGTACAACGTGAAGATATCGCGAATCATACCCTAAAATATACGTTATCAGAATCAAAATCCTTTTTGAAGTTGGTTAAAAAGGTATCTTTTGATGATTACCGATTTGCGTGTAATAATAGCTCCGTGAGAGCTAACGAGTTTTCACGTGGGTATTACGTGGTATTATCATAAATAAATTAATATACTATCTGATATTTCGCGTACACAATAATACCGTGTGCAAATTTAATTTATTTTAAAATCTTTGTTACGAAATAACGTGCTCATTTATTTCATATTACTTTTTCATATTTCGTTTTACATTTCGTATCAGTTATTATTAATTCTTTATTTATATGCGAAACAAGTTTCACATAATAATTATATAGTTTATAGTTCATGCATTAATACAAATACCGACTTTCTACTGACTGAGGTGGGTGTATACTGTATATATCATTTATATGGTTATTCAGAATAATAATTCATTTCATATTGATAATTTAAACTGCTCTTGTTGAATACTAACAATAAAAGCGATTACGTAGTGTTTGAGAACTACGGATTGAATTATCATCTGAATATCAAAGTGCACTGGAGTGTAACTATCGATTGATAACTATTAATATCGTGTTATGTATTTCAGAGTGCGACGATGAGTACCCGGTGTCGATAGAGGCACTAGTACGGTCACCGTCTCTGCCCGCCCACTCCGGTAATCACGCTGCGCCGAACTTGTGGACAGTAGTCATGCGCTTGCAGAACGACGTGAAAAACCTTAAACTAGATGTAAGGAATTTGCAGCTACAACTGACCGAGGAGAGACAGGAACGGAATCTTGCCATAGCCGCGATACAATCGAAAAATATATTCAAGGACGCAAAAGAAAGTAAATGTTGATGCGTCAACATTACTGTTTAGATAGTAATCGTTGTTAGCATAGACAGTATTCATATCTGTGTCGGATAATAATTGTTAATTACTGAATATAGCCTCCTCAGACTGCCATAATTGAACCCCATCCTACACATTTGAAATCCGAGTGTACCCTACAGTGTTTACTTACTTATTAGGGTATAAGCTAGCGATATCCTAAATGTAAATGAGTATCCCTATTGTAAACTCTAATCCCAGTTGATTGTCGAATGATCTATTGTTAATATAGCTTGCCGCTTTTTAGGACAAGATTATAATATTTCTGAGTAAACGTAATATTTAATCTATTCGTACATGTAATTTTATTTCTATGAATTTAAATTTAAATTGCTTAGATATTGTTTTGTACGACCTATAATATTTGATTTATAATGTAGAAATTTGTATTTTTCATTAATAAAATGTAAATATCACTATAATTATTTATTAATTGCTCTTTAAGGAGTCTTGCAAGAAAGTGTAAGTCTGTTCTATGTTATTCTAAAATATGAAACAATGTTAGAAACATCCCAATAAACCATCTGAGTACGTATCCATGTAATTAAACTGCAGTATCAGGCCCCGAGCTGTTCGTAAAGGGAATTCGTACTAAAACGGAGTAATATATAACTAAAACTATTCTAAACTATGTCGGGTTGTGACGTGCGGTTCGGTTCACTGGGTGCTCACTGGGGTGGACGGCTACACCACGTAGGTGTAAGCCAAAGAACAAAACAATGCATGCAGTCTAGATAAAAACAACCGTTTTGCTCTTTAAACGTCAATTCCCTTTTGGTTCAGCGATAGCTCGTAATAGATCAGTGTATTGCCATTCACGACATTAATAATTAATGCAAGTCGAGGGTTCTAAATACTGACTAGAGGTTTGCCTATTTAATATTCAATGAGCAAGTTTATCCAGCGTATTTGGAACTTGACATAACTCGCGTCCTTGTCTGTCTGGTTAAAGACAATATATGCGTTAATTTAAAATATTAGCAATCCGTGTATTATACTTATATTTTATTCAAATTCATGTGGCTAATTAGCGTGATTGACTCATAAAGATCCTGATATCTGTGAATTATATTTGTAAATATTAAATAGCTTTAAATATTCTTACCTTTATCGCTACTGCTAACAAAAAATATTTATTATGCAGCGTACGTATATCCATATGACTCATGATTGACAATGTAAGTTTGTTTCATTTATTTTAGTAATTATATTTATGTAGTCGGTTTTTGTCTCTATTTGTTTATATTATACTTGATTCATATGTATATTTAGATATTCATATAAAGATTTAGAGGCATCTATACAATATACAGTAGGTACAAAATCTATACTCATAAATTTATAAAGTAACTCTCTTTGCAATATGAGATAGTATACAACTTATTACATAGATACGGTCACAACATTCTAAGTAAATTACATTCGTAAGTAATGGATAGGTAAGTGTTCCCAAGACGAACAAATTCGATCCAATTATGTCTCTACATTGCTTGCGCCCTGGTTGATAAAATGTTGGAATGTTTTCATTTCTTTCATAGCTATCTACGGGAAAATTTGGAATGAGCGTCACCTTGTCGTCGGTACCGACAACAAACGTTAGCGTTTTAATTTAATTTTCAATTTACTGACGGCGTCCTAACGTACAATTTCGTATCTCTACTTGTAGGTATACCGTACTAAAACGAGTATAAAAGTTTCCCCTCTTTTTATCTTTCACAGACGAAGTTATTAAGTCCTCAAATAGGACTTGTTGCCTTTCGAAATTAAAACTTCATCTTAATTGAGAGTAGAGGGAGATAGCTATTTATTATGGAAGAGAGCCTAATCCCTGGGTCGGCCACTACGACAAGTCATTAATATTTAATTAATAAAATTTGCCGATGACGTTTATTTGTACTGATTTAATTAATAACCAACCAGTAACAAATGAATCTACTTTCAATGTAATAATAATTCAGAATAATTTCGTTTAACAATGTACGAAATGTAAACGATTATATAAAACGCCCTTATACAAAGGGTTCAAAGTTTATTATTTGATTACTGCGTATATATAATATAATAAATAGCACTTATGAAATATTCAGTGTAGGTATTTTGGATAATATAAAAAAATAACGTTTTGAGTGTTTATATAAAATAACAATTTATTATTTATAAACTATACAGTCAATGGATTTTCATAATAAACATTCAGACAAGTATACGTATGTCAATTCCTTGTCATTATTATTAATTACACTTTGGTTAAAATTTTATCTAGACTTTTTACAATTGGTACTACATAGTATAATCTAAAGTAAATACACAATAATACCTATGTATTATAATAAAAATTATATAATTGTCCAAGTATTTTCTCTAATTGATGGCACAATACGTAGTTATTTAACATTTTCTCAAATAATAATAGGTACATTCAGTCACTGCAGCACTGTATTCTTGACCTCTTAGGTGGATATTTCGTCCCGTTTAAATAGGAGACATTTCATTTAATTTGGTCGCTGGTGCACAAACTCGTTTTATGGGGTCGTAAACGCATCTGCTAATGCTTCTTCCCAATAAAGATTTTTGCTGTATATTAAAAGTGACATTTATGAGTGGGTATATTTGCAAATAGACTTACTGACCTACCTAATCACGAAGACCAGAAATTCTGCGAAAACCGCTTTATACGACAACTATATTTAAGCCTAATGATTTTGGCTTGAAGAGAATAAGATCCTCATTTTTAATAAAAAATTAAAGTCACACATGTACCTATCTATGCGAGACATTTTGCCTAGGACATGTGTTTTGTCATATAGCTAATGTTATAGAATTTCATTCAGCTATCACGTTCTTCTTCAACAGTTGTTTAGTTTGGAAACTATAACGGTCTCTCCAACAGTGCACTTGGTTTCGAATACGAGAAACGTCGGCTGCATACGTGCGACAACACCCACCGACGTATCTTACACCCAGATCCAGCCACTCCTGAATGAATACCTCCACCGCCTCGCATTTGTCCCGGTCTATCCATCTGAAATTTTAAACAAACAATATATAACTACGTGCCTCAGCCATAGTTTGTCTATTACTTATTATCTACTACAATACTCTACTATATACTATAACTATATGGATAGCTACTTGGCTATATAGTAATGTTAGGTAGGTATAATGAGCATATAGTGTATATTTAATATTACATTAGAGTTAATAATTTTATTATATTTATTAACATATAATAAATATAACATGACCTGACTTTCATTGTTGATTTGTATATATGTAGTATGTATATGTATTGGTATGTATATATCTATATATATATATATATATATATATATATATATATATATATATATATATATATATATATATATTAATTTATGTAAGTATTATGTATTATGTGTATTATATGTAAATTAGGTATTTATAATGCACTGCCCACATGAATCTCTGTTTGTCCTATGGTTGACTGGGAGAAAATGCCTCTAGATGTTAAGTCCGCCATGGTCATCTTTATTTGTGTATCTGTGCATTAAAGTTTTAATAAATAAATAAATAACAATATTTTCCGTCTAAGTTATCAATAGGATAGGGAGGCTAAGAGACAAATTTATACGTTATATTCTGTATTAAAACTTTAAAAATAAATAGGCGGACAAATAGAATAGAATAGAATACTGAATTCCCTTATTGAGTTAAGAGAGTTAAGAATAACCTTATTAACTCTTGTTTTGCTCTTTATCAATGACAGAGAAAACAAGAATGTAAGCAGATACCACCTGCGTTTCAATGTACCAGTAGAGTAGGTATGTGTAACAAATGTCTCACAAGTAGATAGGTAGCTACTATCTGCAACGTGAAATGTGTGCCCGTTTGCCCTTATAAAAGTTTTGGTGACTTATCTAACTGCGGAATCTTACCCTATTTGAGGGTTGTATTTTTCGCCCGAATTGGGGTAGACGATAAGTGGAATGGGGGCATGTGGCCGGTCGTCGTTGAAGCCCTTTAGTAAGTTGGACACATATGACGGCGCGCAACAGTTTACACCCACAGCTACCAGTTGTTCAGGGTTTGACTCCCAACATTTCTTGGCTACTTTTTGGAAACTCTCTCCATGAGCTATACTTTGGTTATCCTGAAATAATAATATTTGTATATTATACGCATATATCCACACATAATATTTTATAACTATACCAATATTATATACTCGAAAGTGACTGATTGTCATATTTTGACAAGACTCTAAAAAATCTAAATGAAATTTGTTTTGAAGATAGATCACGAGAACGATTACAATATCTTTAATTTTAAAAAGCAGACTGATCTGGCACTGTATTAGTGCAAAAAACCTAAATTTATGAAAAATATGGCTGTAAGAGACTTAATCCCAATGCGACTGTAGGGCATCGTAGTTTCAGGTTGTAATATTAAGGACTACAGATACGGTTATATTCTCTCAGCTCTATGACAAATGACTTAGTCTCTGTAATTTTTTTATAATATTTTAGATATACGCATAAACATTACACTATATGGTACTGATATTTTTAAGAAAAGAAATGCCCCATTATGTTTCTTCAAATGGTATACATCCAATATTAAACTAGTAATCACTTAACTGTTTTAATTACTTATCAGAATCTACTCAGCAAAGAGTATAAATAGGACTGTTTTAATGATTCATCAAAGAGACACCTGGTTGAGCTAGTAAAATATTCTAATGCTTCCAACCCATATTAGACTAGCTTTATCCAACGATTACGAGCGCACTAAATACTATACGAGGGCTACACTGAAAGTTTTTAGAACTGGCTACTTGAGAGCAATATAATAAAAAAAATTGTTAAAATTTTGAAAATGGAACTCTTTACGAATAGTACTGAGTATATAATTTATTCGTATGTCATGTGTTTTACGGTTAGGCGGCAAATTGAAAATAGTCTGTGTAACGTTATCATGAACTTAATACGAGAAAATTTTCGTGTGATGATTTTTTATGACTTTCGATGTCATCTAAGTCAACAAGAAAGTTATGATAGACTACTATTGGACTTCCACGATGAAGCCCCGTCTCGTGCCACTGTTTACAACTGGTTTAATGAGTTTAAACGTGGTCGCACTAATCTCACCGATGATTTGCGTGAGGGACGGCCTACGGCGACAACCGAAGATAACATCCGTGTTGTGCGGCGTATGATAGAGACTGACAAAAGAGTGACCTATCAGCAGATCGGGGCAAGCTTAAAGATTGGTATGAGTCAAGTGCACAAAATCCTCCATAGACATTTGGCGGTCAGGAAGCCTTGTGCCCGGTGGATACCTTATAATTTCACTGAGGCTCAAAAACTCCGTCGGGTTGCTTGGTGCCGTGAAATGCATGAAAGATTTAATGACTCAAATTCTGTGTTTAACATAGTTATGGGAGACGAAAGCTGGATTTACTGTTATGATCCCGAAACTAAAAGACAGTCAGCTCAGTGGGTGTTTCAGGAGTTGCCAACTAAAGTGAAGGGAGGTCGAAGCATAGGAAAAAAGATATTGGCCTCGTTCTTTGGAAGAACAGGTCATTACGCGACAATTGTTTTAGAGGATCGAAAAACAGTTACTGCAGAGTGGTACAGTAACAATTGTTTGCCACGTGTTTTGAAAAAAGTGCGTGAGAAACGACCTCGCAGTAGGATCCTCCTTCACCACGACAATGCTTCGTCGCACACCGCCAGGCAAATGATCGATTATTTGGCGACCTCAGACGTAGAACCACTGGGTCATTCGCCTTATAGCTCCGACCTCGTACCTTGCGATTTTTATTTATTCCGAAAAATGAAAGAAAAAGTTCGAGGAAAACGTTTTATGGACGCCGAGGATTCGGTGGCTACGTTTTAGAAGGCCGTCAAAGAGACCCCTAAGGACGAGTGGGCAAAGTGCTTTTCTCAGTGGTTCTATCGTATGCAGCGATGTATTGACGTGAATGGACACTATTTTGAAAAGATAAAATAAAGGTAATAACTTGCTAATTTAATCAGTTTTTGATTTTCTAAGAACTTTCAGTTTGACCCTCGTAATAATAGAAAATAACCTCTGGACAATTAACACAGTGCCATCTTGTTCCACGGTAAGCTTGTGTTGTGGGTATTAGACAGCTGATATAAATACTTCATTTTTTTCAAATACATACATAATATACATCAATAATGATATATACATGAATAGAAAATATTCGCACCGTGCTAGGAATCGAACCCACGACCATCGGAAGTAAAGCGGTGTGCTATAAACCGCTACACCAACGAGACCGTAAGTCTCTAAATACTATGAAAACTGTGCTAATCTGGGACATCATATATTATCTGTGTACGAAATATCGGTCAAAACGGTCTAGACTTTTAAAACCGTCACATTTCTAATATTAGAAAGAACTATCACACTAACCTTGCAACTGAATGCTAACCAAGCTTTCATATTTGGAAATTCGCGCAACAGGTCACAGAGCATCTCGGCTTCCTCTTGACATGGAATCGTCTCCAAAGCTAATAGGTCCACTCCAGCTTCGACCAGAGCCTGAATTCGCGGTCGATGCCATTCACGCATTGTCTGAAAATCATATTTAAGACTAAAAATGTGTATAAATTATGAAAGTAGGTACATGTTATTAATTATATTGGCAGATAAAAAGTATCTGTATATGCTACAGATATGGCTATACCTACCATAGAAGTTTTCACTAAATATCTTCTTTTGTATGATAGCTCTCCCAAATTTGTATCGAAACTACTATATACTACTTACATTGTAGATATTTCTAACTACATTTTGTAACAAGTATCCGCAATGTGTTTATTGGACTATGTTCTGCTTCTCGAAGTAATTTAAAATTAAATGAAGTAACTATCACTATTAGAGCTACTAATAAAATTCTTATAGCAGAAAGAAAGGCAATTGTTACAGCTGAGACTAAGTAAGTATCTATAATTACTTTGTAACTCAGACGGATAATGTGACTATTTAGTAAATAAAGAAGCTTTAAATTTGACTGAATAAACTGTCATCAATAATTAGGACAAGGCCTAAGAAATATTTATCTTTAAGTATACCTGTTCTGAAGTAGAGAAATTCTAAAGTTTATCCACCATATGGTTCCCTACCAAGGGATGACAGCATTTAACGTTACATGACCCGTATCTATCCCTAACGAATGCCCCTCGGCTATGTGAGCATTCATTATTATGAATCATATATTTTTTAAGTATGTCTATGCAAAACTTTTAAATACTAACTTAATGAGTTTCAATTAAAAGAGCAGTTGTATTTTAGCGCCTTGTGTTTATAACTAACTAGGTAACTAACCTAAATCCTTTTCTGCAATTCCGTCGAGACGTAATATTAAGGTATGTAAAATAAAACTCGCTCAACTTTCATTAACTCCGTTCACAACGTTCATTGCACAATTAGGATTTGCTTAAAAAGTTTAAGAGAAAATGAGGCTCTTTGTATTCAATTCCTTAGTTTTATTTCTTTCAAACTAACAAAGCAGCTAACTATATTTTTGCTAGATACTGGCATATTTATTAGTAACTTATGTAAGGTACCTTAACTACATAACTTTTTGTAACTACCTAATTACTTGAGTAGGCATTTTATTAAACAATAAATCCATAACTCTGTTTGTGAATTAATTTTGCAAGGCAGTAGATAAAATGTAATCTCAAGTAGGTGTGAAAAAAATATTTATTCGTACTTTGCAACATTAACTTTATAACATTAACGTACAAATTAATGTATAAAACATCGTTGTGTTAATTAATTAAAACAAACATTTGTTTCTTCATGTTTGTTTTTGATAACCATTTGTTCTAGATTTCGTTAATTAACTGTCCACCCCAGTCACATGCTTTCAGTTAAAAAAAGACGAGGAACGAAGAGGGAGTTTTTCATATTGGCGATGTAAATTTTAATTTGCCGGCAACTTTACGGCCCTCTTTACGATTTAGCTGGCGCTTTCAACCTTTATTAGGCTATGCATTCATGGTCGTCAGGGATCCGTAGAAATAATAACGACTTTTTTTCTTCATTAGGAACTGAAGTGAAAATTGTAAATGACAATGGTTGTTCACAATTAGATCTTTTACTAACATGAGTTTGGGTCGACTAGGCAGATAACTACTTGTGTCGAGAATGGCAGATTGCCCACATTCATAGCTATTTAAACAAATGGGTACATATAAATTAGTTTCTAGTTTATTTATACCTGGTTTTATTTTTATTTTCGTAAGTGTATGGAAAATTCCTAGAGGACCCTAAAATCTCACAGCGTAATGTACAATAATAAAAATACTCATTTAGAATTTACTGCTTTTAGTCAGAAAGCTACCTTTAACATAATAGAATCGATTTGATGAAGCGAATGCCTCTAAAAGCACTCGATGACGTAGAAATAGAACTAATTAGGCGGGAGTCAGGTTCATTTATTATTAAACCAATAAGTAAATATTAGCTAGGTAGACACAATTTGCCAATGGCACTGGGGTCGATTCGTGAACGTCTTTCTCTAAAAATCACATATTTAGAAAGAATTGAAAGCGACACGAGATGGAAAGTAAGTATAGGAAAATTAGATGCTTTTCTTTTATAAAAAAAACTGGGTTATATATCCACACAGTACAAACTACAGCAATTAAAAAAAGTACATAAATTGCCTCTTTCATCTAAGTCTTTGATAATCAGATGATTTATACCCAACGCCCAAGAAATAAACATAGGTGATACATAGCGATTTTTAAAGAATTAGGAATTAAAATAAATAAAAAAAATGTGGTAAAAAATCATATGCAGGATATTTTTAGTTAATGAAATGGGTACATAAAGAAAGACATTTTAACCTCCGCTATAGGCAGACTATGCCTATATTTCAACCGATTTAAAAAAAGTATGAGGTTCTCAATTGGTTTATATTATGTGTTACCTCAGCACTGTTTTAAGTGAACGATATATGATAGTTTTTTTTATTTGTCTTCTCATGTGGTTCCCTATAAAGTTTATCAAGATCTGACCAGTGAGTTAATTTTTTTATTACCTAAACGTCGTATAATTATTTACCTCTATCGATGTTGTATCCGCATAACTACCGTCGTACTCGGAACCGTCGTGAAGATGCGCCCCGAAGGGTCCAACGGACCCTACCACCAATGGTATCTGACCTAAAAGTATAAACATTACCTATTAGCTACGGTAAATATATGGAGATGTTACTTATTAACGATATATATATACGAAAAAATTTATGGTCTACTTGATGAGAAGTGATAACCACTGTCCAATTAACGTGGACTTTATGTAGTTTTATTTTATTTAGGACAGTTCAATCAGCCAACTAGCCCCCCGTGTGGGATTCCTCAAGGATTAACCGTGATGGTTCCCGGGAGGATCGCGTGGAGGTCGACCCGAGTCGATTAGTCACCCCTATTTCTAGCAATGTCTCATACGTTGGCTAGCAATAGAGGTCACTAATCCCCATTGCTAATAATCCCTTCCCCAGAGCTATTCGTATATATGCGATAGTTACCATGTACTATCAGGTGGATCTCCAGGTTATTTACCATTCCAATTACGTAAAAAACACAACATGTGGGCTAACGGTTTACTACAAATATAACAAGTATTAACGGCGGTTGTTATAATCACTCTCAACTTAAATGTCGTTCTTTTCAAGAATTGCCTCGACATATATAATCTGTACGAACTGAACTACAAAGTTACCAATCAATAAATATAGATATATATTATATTATAGGTTATCAGCCCTTGAGCTGAATTTTCTACTTATCGTATTCAAGATACTTATCTTCCAAGCTATCATCATGACTATAGGTCTGATAAGAATATCTTATTTTTTTTCTCTTCCTAATAACGATTTTTTACAAAAATACTTAATTACGACAAATACCTACATATAGGTATAGAATACATATAAATAGAATTAATAAGTAGTATATCGTAAAGTGCTTCATGTATACAATTTACAGTAAATGCTCAAATTGTATTCCTCCACTCATATGCATGCCCTGCAATTTCGAATAAATACTCTTCTGAGCAGTCTTGTATACCGTCAGTCGTTTATTTTCGATGCGATACATTTTTTTTATACCCAAGAGGTTTGAAAGAACTTTGCTTAAAAATATTTTTTTGCATATTTTTCAAAAATAAATTTAGTTGGGTATTAATAAAAAAACTGCAATAGCTAGTCATACTATTCACTTTCTATCTATCAGCACAGTTAGTGTATTATAAGAAAACAACAAAAAACCAATAGAATTCATTTATTTCTGGTCATAGTTATCAGGACAGTAAAATAATATAGAAAAAAATCGACTTATCCATTCATTACCCGATACCCTGTATATCATCTACGAAAACTCATCATCTACATAACATACCCACTTATAGCTACCTACACATCTTGCACAATATATAAATTTACCAACTCACAACCTACTTTAGTAGGAACATATGTATAAATAACTTACCCAAATATTGCCTATTTTCATTTAATTTAAATTTATTTGTTTCTCTCTACTATGCGAATTTTATCATAGTATATATTAATTATTGTTCTGATTTTATCAAAGCAACGAGCCTGAATATCAAAGACTAGGCAACAGATAGTAAATCTGATTTCAATATAGATTTTCAATTTCAATCCAATTCTAACCAATCAGTTCTTCTATTGTTCTTTTGAAACATTGTCAAATCGTATCGTATATTTTATTGATCACGAAATACGACATTAAGACGTTGATTATAAGAGCATAATAAGGTGCGCAACGGCGTAATCCAGAGAAAGACAAAAAAGGCTAATAATAAAATGAAAGCAATGTAAATGTGTATCTATTATTGAATTCGTATGTTATGTAAGATATATGTATTGGTCTGTATTCCTAAAAAATAGTAATGAAACAGTTTCATGTAAATATGTACAATGTGATCTTGGAATAATGCAGATACTTGGGGACACTTAGATTGACGGATCACAATTAGATATATATCGTACACTTATCTACTGTATCTGTGAAGTGGTCAACAAGTGTTGTCGAAACAAACATGTATGAATATGAATATACATATATGTAAATACTTACATGAATTAATAACAATAATTTTATGTTTCAACATCTTACAGTCCTAAAATACTTCATGAGTAATGGCCTCGTATTAAATAACAGAAATATTTAAAAAAATGCAATTATCAGAGAGAATATATTATTATTATTTATGCATTAGGACCAAAGTAATAAAATAATATATTAACATCTGCAAAATCACACTTCGACAATAACAAGTAGGTATCATGCTTTGCACATGCCTCTAAATTAATTTGAAATAATATTTTATACAATTTTAAATAATTATATGCGATCATTCCATTAACGCTGACAAATAAAATAAAATAATATTCTAACGCAAATTATTTGAAAAAAAAAATATTATTCTGGTACTAACGTACATATTGGCAATAAACTGGTACCTACCTCCGATTTAACTTAATTTCTAATATTTTTTCAATATTAATAATTTATCGGCCTACTAATACTTTAAATAAATGTATCGGAATTCCTTTCCTACATTTATCAAAATATACCTTTGAGCAAATATCACATAACATTCAGAAAGGAAATAGTATCCAGAGTACCTACACCCTCCTTTGACAATCGGGTCGAATGGGTTTTATTATTTACTCACAACTTCATATTTATTTTCTAATACACTTGTACTATACTTTCACTTTATCTACAAAATAACTTTAAACCCCTGCAGAGTGTAATTAATGCGTGCTTGCACCCGACCCTTGGGATGCGGACCCAGCAATCTTTTGTTTACACGAGAATGTAAACATTCTTTACATTTTGTATAGTTATTACAGCAATAAATTGTCCACTGAGCGGATATAGAGATATTTAAACTAGTAATAATGATACTCGTATCTGATATCATTGTATAAAAGAGCCACTTAAAATTTCTTAATCTTCTTGTATTAAACCAAAATAACTCTCAAATATAGTACTAATGACAATAACCTAGTTAGGTAGTAAATATAATAAAGATTAATAATCATAAGCAAAACAATGAAAGGTAGATACCAACCATTTTGTATGTAGTCTTGATACTCTTCTATGTAGAGAGCACGCGCACGTTTAGCCAGCTCAGCACCTTGCACTATAAGGTCACAGCTCTGCTGTTTAGTGAGCCCAAGGTGCTCCATAAAACCCTCAACCGACGCTTGATACGTATTTGTTATTATCAAGTCGGCCCCCGCTGCAAAACATCAATTTAGTTCCTTGTAATGCTACCTATATTCATCATTGCAAAAAGAGGTAATGAAAACGAAATTAACTCTCTTATTATAATACTTTAAAATACAAAATTGATCCCTCCATGCCGATTCTGTCAACTCTAATTGAATATATTATATACTACTCTGAAAGTTTATATTAGGAAACTAACTCGATAAATATGCCGAACTTCTACGTAGTTACTATTATTAAGTGTGAGCAGGGTGCGGCTAAGAGGCGTAAACAATTAGTGTTATTAAAACTTAGTAAGTAACGTGACCCAGAGTGGCTCAACAATAAGGAACCGAGTTAGTTCGGTAAAAGGAACCGTTGTCGAAGAAAATAATTATGTAATAAATAGAAGACGGGCGCACGGCCTGCGAATGGAAACGTATTAGACAGACAAGGTGATTAATGACAACGGCGGCTTTGTGTATCCGGGCTCCCGGCTCTTAGGACGCCGCGCCGCCACCGAGCGAGCGACGCCCTAGTATTACCTACTCTCTAGTGCTTGCCTCTACTATGATGCCCTGTTGTATGCAAATGTGAGGTAGTTAGGAAGCTCCGAGTAAATAATAGCATTGCTTGTTTTTGCAACAAAGTTTTTGAATTTGTTCGAATTGATTGTTCATGTTTACCTTCTGATAAGAAAGTTATTAAATATTTACATAATCTTTACTTTAGGCAATTAGGCTTTAAAACTGTTTCATTAATCGTTGTTTACTTGATATTAATCTACCTATACTCTAAACCTAAAATGTCAACGTCATTGCAACCTCGCAGAACATGCAACAATTTTTTATATATTTTTTTCATATCATGTCTCGTTTACAACGAACCAAAGCAAGGCAGTAGGTTTTGCCCTCAAGGGAGTTATTTGCTTGCAGACACTTTTCAGCTTTTCCTTATGAAAAGAAACGGTCCGTTTTGTGGCGAAGAAAAGCGCTTTCAGAGGACGATGACACGAGACGAGGTCGCACTCCCTCTGTCAGATGCAAGAAAATGACTGCTAAAAGCGACCTAACGTGTAATCCGTCAAAACACGCATGTACACTTTGATACGTAGGTACATTAAGTGAACTCGCTTCTGTCGTTACGCATTCGTTTGCGGTTTCCAGTGTACGTAGGTGTATCTTGAAATTCATTCAAACTTTGGCTTTGGTATGGGGAACAAAGCAATTACTTTGCAGTTCAAAGGGGTTAGTTGTGCGTGACGTTGGTAAACAAGCACCATTCATCAGATATGTAGCAGCAAATATGTTGGATTGTATCAGCTACTGTGTTATGTTATTTAGAACATAGAAGGTAGGGACAGAATTTCTGGTAATTAGTGAATAATCCTTAGAAAAATTTAAATCATTAGTCCTATTTAATAGAGGGAGTATGTTTTTCTGACTTTGCTACTTAAACTTCTGACTAGATAGCTAGTATCAATATGAATAGTATTATGAAAAATTGTTTGTTATTTGAGGATGACAATGCAGAAAACATAATTATTTTGTTACTATTATACTTAATTTAAAGCTATAAATATGTTATCATCAGGTAGATGTCGACGTTGACTGTGGTCAATGAAGTGCTTGTTTACTTAACCGCTAGAAGATAATGTTTGTCGGAGGATAAAAGTGGAAATTGTGTATAATGGAAATAACTTCACGAAAATTGGCTATCTGCATATAAACAAATAGATATAAATATAAAAAGTCGTTGCTTAAAATAGTCATAGACATAAATGCAAACAGACTTTTGTTGAAGGAGAAAAATGAAAGAATATATGATATAAGATAAAAATTCAATATTTCTTATACAACTGAAACAGGTTTTTTTAAATATTAATAGGTTAGGTTTTGAATATATAAAAATTAAACTAATATTGTCTGTAAAACCAGTACCTTTCCAAATTGTTTTATACTTTTCTTGTCCATTAGTAGAAAGTTTATACGAATAAATTAGCGAACTTTCCGGGCCAGTTGTTGCGTTAGTCCATATATTATTTACTATACGTGTATCTGTACGAAGAGTACCAACTCATTATTCGTAATGTACATACATCAATGTTAAAAATATTAATCTGCTCACTTGGAACTAGATTACAATATACAGTACACAGTGCTTAGCGACAGTAGACGAGATAAAATAAATTAACCGATAACATGTATTTAGTAATAACATAGCATATAAGGTTTGTATTTTTCCATAACAATAATGTAACTTCTTGCTTTCATTAGATATATTTTTATATCACGAAAATCGTTTCTATTTGAATAAAAGGTCTATGAGCTGCCGTTTGCTGTTTTCAAACTGTGTTTGTCCGTTAGAGCAAACGTGGCCTATTTCTTACTTAATTTCCCCTTGGGAACTCTGCCCCTTACCGTCGTGAAAGGAGAAGTACCGTAACAATATTGATGTTTAGGTACAACAACAAGTAGCAGTACGACATCCATAAAGTTTAATAGTTTTAACCCGTGCAAACATAAACATCATATTTTTACATTTTTTTTATTTCGTTACTAATTATACCATCGCCATTTACAGTAAATCACTTTAACTTAGATGTTTCTTTCGTATAATTGGCTAAAATGGATTTATATTCTTAGTTGTCATGATATTTAAGAAATAATGATAATTGTCCATGTCTTTACCGCTTTATTTTTTTTTTCAATAATACATGTTCTACATGTACATTTGTGATAAAGTTTGTTAAAGTGGCTTGTTAATGTTATCTTTTTCTATAGCAAATAATGTGACAATGTGAGGGTTGTTGTTTCGTTCAAAAGGTTAAGATTTACAGCCAGTGCAATGTCTGACACAAGAGTCATAACACATTAGTCCTATGAAGTGGCAACGAATGCGAGGTGCCAAGGGCGGTAGGCAACAGTTGTCACATCTCATTATATAGGGAGAGCTATTTTTATTCAACAACTAAGAAGCATAATGTAATGCTACGAATGAATTATGTATGCAACATTGTTGGGATCTTTGGCGCCACAGTTAATATAAACATAATATTTCTATGAAAGGTACTTTTAAAATATTATTTATTGAAATAACTATATAAATAAAAAATATATAAATGGAAAAACACAAGTTTGCATATTATATGATGCAGTCTGCAGATGGGTTGGACGTATACTGATCTATAAACTGTCAAAAACTTGAATAAAACCAAGCAGTTCGGTTTGTTGACTATGTTATATCCTCTCTATGTGAGTTTTAGTATCCACATAAAAATTCTGTAGGATAAAACTTATATTCCAACCACTTTGTTACAAGTTTTATAGGTTAAGTATGGAATCTTCAATATTTGTATAAAGATCTTTAAAATGTGCAATATCCTCCAATCCTGAGTTTTTGTATTTTAACAAATAAATATTTACTTCCAACTTTTACTTCTAATTTCAAAACATGAAGACGTATAGTACCTCTAAGAAAATCAAGATGTGTATTGATGACTTCATCGGGATGCGTGTGAAGAAAACGAGCACTCCATAGTGGGTCTCCATCTATAACGTGACCAACGTGGCAAGACAGCTGTGTGGAGAACCCGCCATCCAGTACCACTACACGGGGTGCCTCCACGGCCTCGCCATTTGTCGGAGTCATCATAAACTCCCGCACACTGGAAACAAATAATTCACCATCTATTCATCTATTATATATATATATATAATACAGCTAGCCATAACCCTTCGATATCGCAACTTCGTCTACTATTCTCCAATATTCTTATATTGGAGAATAGTAGTATGAGGATAATTATTAATAATATAATGAGGAAATTCATTATATATATTTTACGAGTTAATTTAACTAAGTTGCATTCAGCCTTGTAATCCCGAAAAGATATGTACCGAATAGACACACTTTCATATTAATAATACTAGTAATTACACCCAATTTCATCCTCTTTTTTGTTATAATAGATAGGCAATGCCCATACACAGAAAACAATCTGATTGCACTTAAAATTTCATTAAAATCCGTTCAGCCGTTTCGCTGTGAAAAGGAAACAGAAGGAAAAAAATACTACACATACTGCCCTGTATTTGACACACACACACATATATACTTTTTTCTTTTTTCTTTATTGTTAAAGTCTGGGGTCAAATTGAGAACAAATATTGTCTTTAATATTATTTGTATATAGAACCTTTATAATGTTATAATTTAAAATAATAAGGCTAAAATTTCAATCGCTGGGCCACCACTAATCTATCTAATAAATATTATTATACAGGTATACTAGTAACTGATATTGATATACAGTAGTAGACTCAGGTAAAGATTCTGGGAAAATCCGGGTGTCATTATAGTTCTAAGAGGTATGTTAAATAACATATATCCTCTTGAAATCAGGATAATAAATAAAGCTTAGTGAATAAATCAATTGTAGTGTGTACAAGTACACACATAAAACTACTAAATGAACCTAAAATATGTATCATACTTGTAGACTCCAGACTAGTTTGTTAAACATAATATAAATTTTACAGATATCGAGATACTTGTTTCCATTCAAAGCTCCAATCAATAGATATCATTAGGGTTCGGAAATGGAACGGAAGGAGAGAAAAGCTTTTCAACAATGGTACGTACAGACTATTAATTATTTGTTGTTGAAATAGGCACAAATTCTGCAATAAACATGATTCCCCAAAATCATGGCAAATAAAAACTTTTAGAATTAGATAAACCTTGCCTAAAGGGACTCCTTTTAATAATATATTTTAGTTATTATATTATATTTTTTAAGGTTTTTAATTTTAGGTTCTTAGTTGTACAATTAAATTATGTTAATAATAATAATAGTTACTACTTATATATATTTCTGTTACCTGTATTTATAAACTTCTAGATTACTTTTTTGTTGATATGATGGCGTTTAATATATTTTCATTAGATACGGAAATAAACGGAGCTCAGCAATATTATGAATAGTGTAAAGTTGTTTAGATAGTTAGAAGTTTATTCATAACATGGCTTAATTACTGAACGTATTTGAATGGAATATGGCACACAGATAGACTAATTTAAATATTTGTACTAATATAATATGCAATGTCTACAGGCCTATACATTTTCTTGTCTTGAATTTTTGATCTTCGAAATACTAGATGTAACCCACAAATCCGTTTGCACAAGAGTCCTTTTTTAAGATTATTTTTTAAGTATACAAACAGCCCATATCCGGCCCGTAACATAATTAATCTTACCATTAAATTTTAATGAAATCCGTACAGCTGTTTAGTTACAAAAAGGTTGCAAATAGACTGACACGAGACGTATATAAAATGTCAATATGGATACTTTCATATTTTAACCCTTTGCAATCCGTTGTCGCTGTATTTGCAACATTATAATCCACTGTTGTGGCTATAATTTATGTTTTTCTTTTATAATATTAGTTAGAATATGTTTCTTTATAAAATATGTAAGAAATAAATGTTTTGTGTTATTGCAATGACTCCATTTTTCTTTTAGATTATAGGTATATACTTGTAATTAATACATTGCTTGAGTTATTAGTATTCTATATGAGTTACTAGGCTGGAGTGCAAAGGGTTAAGTATCTGTATCTTTACTAATATAAAGAAATGTAGCTACAAATATAATAAATACTACACTACTATTATAATTTTCTCCAGTATTAACCATTTTGTCTAGTAGTAGTTAGTACCTACATTGTCAAGTTATGACACAAGTGCTCAAGTTTATGACCACGTTTCGCTTACGTTTTGTTTAACTATTTATATATACATATAGAAGTCATAGTAACAACCTGTGTACACCCACGAGAAGATAACGATACTTATTACTTCTTTAGAGAAATTGAACTCGTTCGCATAATTTTGTAAACTAATTGGATATTTGTTGACTTCTTTATTTTGTATAACTGAAATTGTAAAACGTGTTGGCAGATCTAATGGTTAGTGGTAGCCTCTTACTCTCTTACGCCTCTCATACATAAACAGCATTTATGTGACCTAAATCTAAATTTAATATTACATAGTTTCAAATTGTTATATAGACTAACTTGTAATGCTACTTAACTGTAATTGTATTACATGTCTTCATACAGAAAGTATTTTGTTCTTAGCAATGCAAGTCTAATTATAAAAAAAAAGCAATTATGTAAAAATAATATTATCAAATTTTGCCAATTCAATAGCTACGTTTATTTTTGTTTACATATTAGGTACAGATAGATAAAAAATAATAGAGATATAGACTTAGATTTCGATAGCATTGTTGCCATAGTCACATGTCAGGAGGTATGCAAATATATTAAATTATATTATAATTATCGAAAATTATTAATCTATAACGTAGGTGTATAGATACGTAGAATGCTACATAAATTTATGTAACTTGTTTTGTACAGGCACATACACATGCCTACTATATTATAACAAGAAATTGATTGCCGAAAATGAAGTCCTTCCTAGTATTTACAAGCCTTATAGATTTCTCAATGTCGGAAATATTCTGTGTTACAGTTATACAGACTCCAATATTTTAAAGTATTGCGTTTATATGCGCTAATTTCAGATACCAATCGCAGTTTGACCAATTTGAGTATGGTTTTCGAATAAACAATTATACGAGTATGCAGCCGTAGACGCAGTGCAAAATAATAATACTATATTTCTTACTCTCAATACACTGTAACATAGTAGGTAGTTATTGAATTTTTTACATTAGTAGTAATTACAAATATGCCATAACAGCCGTCCTTACCTACATATAATATGTAATGTAATCACTGCCGGGGTAGATACCAAATATTTGGTCATTATTATTTTATATTTGGTCGTCCTACTGATAAACATGTATGTCAACACTGTTTAATCATGCGTACAGTATAGAAAATTCAGCAAGTTATCAGAAAAGTCTTATTATATTATTATGATTTACAAACAATACTGTTTACCGTATATTTCTGATAATGAATGTTGAATTTACAGATGTACATATATGATGTTTATGATGTAAAATATAAATAACAATAATACTAAACTAGAAATGTAATAATATTTTTAATATTAGTTCAATATAACCATATTGTGATTTATATTGCAAAACTGACTACCGAACGTATCAAGATCATTTGCCCTACAAAATTTGCCTACAAAAACTATAAAAGAACACGGAAATTATTAGCTATATCAATTTAATAAAAACATTGTAATTCCTTTAGTTTTTATAAAAATCACCTCTCAATTCATCATTTTGACAGCCAGTTAAAAATACGATCAATGATAAAATAAAAATTGTATAATTGTATTGTATGGAGATATGACACCTTTCTAGGGTTTGAACTGAAAAATATTAGTTTGTAAAAATACCTCCAAACTGGTTGCTTACAATTTCATAAGGTACCTACTGCCGATAATATCTATCTACAATATTATCTGAAACTTGTCGCACCTCGCTTCTTTTTATATGATAATTAATCGATATTTATTACAAACAATCAACGTCATATACAAACTGATGGTTGTTATTCATGATTGGCAATAGCAATTCTTATTCACCGAATCAACTCGCCTATTGAATTAAAAATTCAATCTTTACTTTGTCGTACTTACCCACGCATTGTTAAGTTTGTGCTTAGTTTTTTATACATTCAAACAAAATCAAATCCATTCAGTATTCTGGTAATAACATTTATAATTTAATTTGCCGACGTAATATAGGGAAAGAAACAATTTGTCAAAACATTTCCGCAAATCTGATAATCCTACTTTGCATTTCACCTTGTCAGAAAAATCTTAAAAAGATTAATGGAACACGGGAGGGGTCTGCTAAGTAACAAGTGCTCATTTTAAAATCCGATTAGCTAAATAAACCCAAATGGAAAAATGACGAGTCACTACATTGTATTACATGTGTGATGCCATTGTTTTCTCAGAAAAGAATATTAAATATCTCCACGAGCATGCCCTTCAGAAATTCTTAAAAAGAAACATAATATATATATCTAATATTTGTTTTTCACATATTTAGTTAATATGCTCATGATATATGTAATAGGTATCAGGTAAATGAGCATAAATTGCTGCTGAAATAAAACATTATATGAAAAGAATGGATGTAATAGCTCTTTAAAGAGATCTCAATTGTTTTGTCAAGTATCATTGTTACAGAGAAGATCCTATTTTTTATTATTATATGGAAAATTTACCGTTTTTACGTTACGATTTTTTCAATGCGCAAACAAAAATTGTAATACCAGTAAGGGTATTGATTTTGTAATGTACAATTATATTATAGCTAATAGTACACGTTGGTGAGTATAATATTTTTCCAGTTTGGTTTTAGTATTAATACATATAACGTTTCAGTACCTATAAACCTACATGTCCATAATATTGTAAGTATGTGGGAGGTATCTGAAATTCTGAATATGTGGCAGTACCTACCTGCATACATAACCGACAGCGGTTAATTTCCGGAAAACACATTGATGGTTGAGATGTCTGTGGTTACAACCCTTTACACGACGCTGTTGGATAAACATATTATCGTATTATTAGTACTAGTTGTACATCATGAGTTTGTTTCGATGAAATTTTATCGTTATTGTACGCTTTTTCTTACTTAGTAAAGTTTTATCATTGTCATTCTTTTTTTTAACCGCTTTTTAAATATTTTTATCTAATATATATGTCGGATAACGAATGGCAAAAATGGCGTTAGTAGTATTTACATGATGTCTTTACTATAAAAACAGTAAAATAATACAATTTATAACAGTAGGTATATTATTGGCATTGGATTCAGGTGGGTCGAGGGTTATTGCTATAAAGTAGGCAAGATGCATGTAAGTTATGATCAGTTTAACGGTTTTCACCTTGACATGACTTTATTTTTTGAGTATGACATAATCTGTACCTATAAAAACATTTTAATATGCACTTTTTCACAATGATTTTTTTGACAATTCGAACTGTTTTTAAATCAGATTACCGTATAATCAATGCGACAAGGTTACTCAATCTTGCATACCCGAGTATATTTCAAATACACGTATAGTATCTACATAAGATTAATGATAAATAAGTGTTAAAAGTGTAGTTGTAATAAAAAAACGGTCTACATAGTTTTGACTATTTTTATACCCATCTGAATATGTTTATTAATATTCATGAGAAAATAATATTCTAGGTAAAAGATAGATAAGTCTGTGAACTGTACCCACCTATCAAAGGCGAATGGGAGGTCATATATTTTGAACTAATATCGGCTTATCTTTTACAATTATATAAACAATACCTATTAATTTATCTTAAAATGCAGTAGGTACCTATCAAACAATATGCGGATATCAGCAAAATATTCTTGTGTAAATATACTAATAAATTGACCCTTTATTAGTAGGTGTATTTTTGACACAGTAAATTTAGTCTTATATTAAAACTTTGGACGCTGTGAGTTGAACCCTTGTCGAGAAATTGTGGAAAATTTTTAGAATTAAGTACATAAAAACGTGAAGGACATTCTAATTAAACATAAATCACTACACGAAAAACTTGGGGCTTGCAGTGAAAGCGGTTGAGACATTTTACAGCCGAAGAAATATCGTTTTCGACAACAATATTTTAAGCGTCTCGACATTCACCTGAGCTCGAAGGGCGAAGGGCGACGAAATGAGTTATTGTGAACTCTGATGCGCATTATATTGCTCCTACTACTTTGTATTATGATTAAACCAACACGTGTATCTATTTATGGAAAATTTATTGCATCTATATACCTATCTATTATATATAAATATAGCTACAATCTATAACGTCAAACGTAGATCATTTTACTAGGTCGAGGAAAGCTCAAAAGGTTGGAATTTTCGTATATTTAGGTATTATACACTTCCTATGATAATTTATTTTAGTTATTTTATTAACTTATTGTTAGTCTCTTTTTATTAGAGATAGTTCCGAATAACAATGGAGTAAAGAAGAATATGGAAAATTGAAATTATATAGTATAAACACCGAGCTGCATGGATAGTCTCTAGAGTAGTCTGTATTATCTACGTGTTACTTTAAAAGTGAGAACTAGTTTTTTATATTTGTTCTTAAGTCTCTGAGTTATATCAACAGCCATATTAGTTTTCAGTAGTTCCGAACTTACGAAGTGTTAGTCCGGTAAGACAAAGCTTTGTGTATTCCTCTATATTTTTATGTTTCCTCTAGCTTCATCATCAAGGAATTGATGTTAGAATCATGACACACCTAACAAAATATTATACAGCATATTCGGAGACAAAGAAAAAACGTTATATTTAGTAGAGGATGTAACTCTATAAACTCTAACCATAAGATTTTCAACGAAAATTCAAGAAGAATAGAGTTTATATTTAGTCAAAATCTGTAAATAATTCCATTTGGCAATAATGAAGATATCCAAAGGTTTTTAATGAAAATATTTATATTACTTTTACCCGCGACTACATCAGAGTTGACGTCATGATTATAATATTGAGAAGAATTATTTTAAAAATGTATTTAAAAAGAATAGTTAATTATTTATCAGATCTGACGTTGGGTATTCCTGAGGATTGGAACTACATAGATCTGAGCATCTAAGATCTACCATAATGCCATAAAAATGTAAAATATACTGTTCCTATGTCTTTTTAATTTATTCATGAAGTAAAGACCATGTTAATTAATGTTAGTATAGATTTCTAAATACGCGAAAGTTTTCAAAATGGATTAAGTTTTTAAAGGGCAAATAAAGTGCCATTACAAATAGCCTATAAAAATATTTTCTACTAATATTATTTTACTATAATATTGATTATTATATTACGTATACGTAGAATTACAATTAATTAATTAAAAAACAGCCCTTTCTAACAGAAAACATCGGATAATGTGCGGTCGGTCACACACATTATTACACTTATAAATACACATTCCGATTCAAAAATAACTTTTACTCTATTATACATACGTTCGTACGAAGAGAACATAATTTAATTCTTTATTTATCCAATAAAATTAATGGGTTCAATGACTTTTCGACATTTTTATTTTAATGATTCAGTGTCTGTGTTGTGTCTTCTTCAGGGATCTTGTTAATTATAGTGATTATGATATTATTTGTATCATACAATGATCAACAATACCTATCTACTTATTACCTATTTACGCTAATATGTTGCAGTGTAAGTAGTAAGTGCAGTGTAAGTTACAAGTAAAGATTTTAATACTTTATTAAAGGGCTATATTTTTATTATTTTATGTACCTATAATAGTAGAAGTTACAAGTATTTAGGTACGTAAATTGTTATATTTCTTTATATAGAATATATTAATGATTAGATGGTTTATTGTGTTGTGATACCTACATCTATTGCATAACATATAGAATTTAAATCTTTTCTTACAAGGTACCTTTTAGATTATTAAAAGAAACAGAGATAGTCTTTAGAATATATTAATAAGACTTGAATAAAATTGCTTGCAGAATAAATGGAAGTAAGACATTCTTATTTTATTTATAAATATAATAAAAATACAGCACATACATTTTTTTTATGTAGGCATCTAGACTGGCAAATAATTTGAGGGCCAACCGGTTGCTAAGTGCTAATCGTCGCTTATGTAGGTATAGGTATATGTACGTACTACATACAACGATTCACGAACACTGAATATGTATACGTACACTGAATATATACTATATGTATACGTGATAAAACATATAAATAAAACTTATAATTGAATTCATAATAAACTCTATTTTCTGCAATCAGTTATATTACAGATATTTATACGTCTTTGCGCTTGACGACGATGTATCGGAACCGGTTCCTTATGTAAATATTATTAAAATTCAACAATTCATAGATACTTTGGAGCCAGTGGATGTACCTAATATATGAATAGGTAATTTGGTATATATATAATAATAACATATTTTCTTAATTAATAATGTTGTGTAAAAAATGCATAATTTTTCCAACCTTTTATTTCACCAAGAAGATACCTATTGTATATAATGCACCATTGCAGTGGAGCAAGTGGTCAAAATATTCAAGTATTGTCACGGAATATATAACTACAATTGTTATCGTGTACTAACACTAAATTAAGAAAATATTTTCGGATGTTTACGTGGGCAGGCGAAGGTTATTTTTGTTCACACCGGTTTATGTACAAGTATGTAGTTACTCTATTATCGGACCTATGAACTGGTTAGTGTTACTCCTAACTTTATATTTATTCGTTTCATAGAAATAAAATATATTCACACAACTGATATACTTAAAAATTATCAAAATAAATATTAACGTATGTTTATAAAAACATATTAGGTGTACTTAATCTCTCATTCCGTTTCAATACAAGGTTATACACTAGTAAAATTAAAATATTTAATAATTAATTATTATACTTACATCAAGTACTTTCCGTGTTCACACAATTTTTAATAATTATTCTATTTTTATTTAACTTTCATATAAAACTACTTGGTCGATGTAGGTGTCGATCAACAAAAACGACTCGCAAACAAGCACTATCGCGAACACGAGCGTATCGGCACTCGCACCGAGGCGCCCCGCACACTGTTGCTAACTACTAGTTTTGCTAGAAAAAAAAAAACATTAAACATGTGTTTTTCGCAATAATCTAAAATAATATTTTTCTTTATATCATCCCGTCTGATGCGCGCGCGAAGATAAACAACCTATTTGACGATTAGATGAACACTGAATATTAAACGGTGGCCGTGAGTAGGTTTATTCGAAGAATATATTTACATACTTGAATACATAAATATATTTTACTAATGACATTGACTTATCATAGACTTTATTATCAGTTGGTAGTAGATAACAGGACTGTAATCTGTAGCATAGATGTTGGTTAGGAATTGGGACTAATTTATAAAATATTATAACGTGCTAATTTACAATAATATAAAGTTATAATATTCAATTATGTCTTATGTATAAAGTAAATACTGTACTGTAGGTAGTGTTTTCTATATGCCAATTAGACATGTGCATATAGAAAACAGCGAATATACTGTAATATAATTCACACCTAAATTTACATGTAGTATTCTTCACTAACTTCTGCATCATATGTTATGAGAGATAGGGTTGTTTTACTTAGTAATTTATTTATTTAGGATTGTTTCTTTTTAGTTAATAATATATCTTAATAGCACTTCACATTTATTAAAAAAAAATACTACTTCAATCTCAATCTTACAGTACAAAGATTTTTGTTCAGATTTTGTTGTAATGTGCACATTGGGCATACATCAACGACCAGTGATTGGCTCGCGATGTGTGTTTTGAGACATCAGATAGATATTAATAGAGTTATCAACGCGGAGCAATGTACTAACACAGTCAGTCAAACGCGGGCCCATAGCAATTCCGGCGATAATATAATTAATACCTACTGATATTGTAAAATAGGTAGCTTTAATAGCACACACGTTGTTGAAGTAGAGTCATCTTAATTTGCTACAATTATTGTCTTCTTTATTTTGTATTTACAATCCTTATTCAGAGTAGTAGATTTTACGCGCTTCATTAAATTTGATGAGATAGTGGTAGGTACATGCCAATGGTTAGCTATCTACTAATAATATGTCAATTTTTGCCATGAAGCCGCAGTATTTCTTTTTGTGATCACACCGAAACAATATCTTTGGTCTAACATTTTACGACGTTAATTTTATATTTTTATTTATATCGAAAACATTTAGTATCTATGCATTTAGTTTTAAGTCCCGGTAAATTATTCTAATTTCTGATATCATTAGATATATAAATAAATAATCATGTTATCCGAAAAAAAATCTTAACTAACAAAATAATCTCATGATCCGATTTGCTTGGTCGCAATAATCACTGAATTTAAGAAATTACTACGTGCTCTTTAACATATTTTAGTTTCGTTCATAATTTCAGGCAACTTATTGTCGAATCTGAAATTAAAGCAGCTCTCTTTTAGATAAAAAAACCTGGTTCGGGCGGACATTTGGGAAATCACAGGTATTATATCCTACCAATCACTGCGAAAACAACCCAACTGGTTGTGGTATACCTACATCATATATTTTAAGTTTTTTATTCGCAGATATTTTTATAACATGCGAAAATTTAAATATATTACAAATTATGATCTTGATTTATCATTGTAACAATTAGTATATAATAATTATTGTTTGTAGATGCACTGAATGTTTACACCATCAATTGTATATATATTTACCACAACTGCAGACTAGACTAGGGGTTATTATTTATACATACAAATAAAATTGTAGTGTCAGTTTGTAATATCGAAATAACAGTTTTTTACTACCTGCATATGAATATAAATACAGTACGTACTCCAAAACAACATCTTTTACAATTTTTGTCTGTCTGTCTGTCTGTTTGTACCGCCTAATCTCTGAAATGGCTGGACTGATTTTGACGGGATTTTTTTTGCAGGTAGCTGATGTAATAAGGAGTCATTTTGGCTACTTTTATTTTAGAAAATTTAAACTTTTATTTTAGAAATATTCTATATTATCGCGGGAACAGCTAGTATTACATAATATACTATTATTATTGTATTGAGTATTGATTACTATTAAAACTTTATATTGCTTTTTTTGTTGCTGTTTGGTTACCAATTATTTTGGTAACCAAAGGTATAAATATAACATAATGTCAATGGTGTCATTTGTCCATAAGATGGCGGTTTTCGTCAGGTGGGTCATCGTTTTGTGTGCCGTTAGCAAACAAGCTGACTATTTATTTTATATTACTGAGAGTGGCGAAACGCCACTCCCATGTAACTGTAGCCTGTATAAAACATAGTGTAAGGTTTCATTTTATGTATTACTAGCAAATGTCTCAATTTCATTCAAGTTGAACGTTACTACCTACATTATTCCCGAAATAATCTATGTGTCTATACATTTTGTTCATCCGAATTAATTAAAAACTGGATTACTTTTCGCTCGATACATTTATGAAATTGTGAGAGAATTTTTCGTTTAGTATTTTTTTTTATGACACAGGGGACAAACGAGCATGCGACTCACCTGATGGTAAGTGATTACCGCCGGCCATGAGCACCCGCAACACCAGGGGAATTGCAAGTACGTTGTCGGCCTTTTAAAAAGGAATAAGCTCTTTTCTTGAAGGTTTCAATATCGTATCGGAAATATGCTGGAAGGTGATTCCACAATGTGGTTGTGCGAGGCAAAAAGTTCCTAGAAAACCGTACTGTGGAAGACCGCCATTCATCCAGATGGTGGTGAAACTCAGCAGGGTATTAATCCGAACAATTCCTCAGAACACTACCCGTGATATATGCGGTAGAAAATGCACAGAGATGCAATATCACGCCTCATAGCCAATGGGTCGAGTCTGTCACATAGACGTTTATTACCAATGATTCTGGCTGCTCGGTTCTGAATGCGGTCAAATGGAAGTAGCTGGTATTGTGGTGCTCCCGCCCAGAGATGAGAACAGTATTCCATGTGCGGCCGGATCTGCGCCTTGTATAATTGCAAGCGATGGGCCGTCGTGAAATACCGTCTCACTCTACTGAGCACACCAAGCTTTTTTGAGGCTATTTTAGCCTTGTCCTCCAAATGACCGCAAAACCGAAGGTCACTGGATATATCAACGCCAAGGACCTCGAGATTTGGCTTCACATCAAGGAGAGTGTCTTGAAACTGAGGAGATACGATAAATGGATTCTTTTTAGCGGTAATTAGTAATTTCAAAGATTACCATCTCATACAGGCAAACACAAAATCGAATTCTATATTCATAATGAGTATTAGTATATATTATGCATATTTTTAAATTTAAAAATAGACTTGATAATAATCGTATCTTCACAAATGGAAACAGAAACTTTTAATGGCATTACTCCCAATTTCCTTCCCTGGTGTATAAGCAATTAATATGTCAATTTAGATCAGAATAAAATTTGTAGATTAGTGCGAATTACATAACAAATTGACAAGGTGTAACGTAATGTATTATCAATGTGTGCGTTTAATATTTTTTTATATTACATTACTTCTTTATGACTTTATGCTGACGAAGTGATAGGCTTGGTGTTATGGTAAAATGAGATTCCTGTGGTTATGTTCTCTTTCGTTTTTTATTGTCTTACTTCTTACAACTAATATATGGTGATACATATTTTGATAACTAAGCAATAGGTATTATCATATATGAGAAAAACATATAATTCTCAAATTTGGGACATTATAACACAGATTAGGTAATTTACTGAAGTAACACAAAATTTAACAATTTTTAATCTATATACTTCAAAAAATTTAAACCCATTGCACACAGATTATTTTTTCCAAATCATCCTAAATACCTATATATTACAGAGTTAAGGCAGCAACTCCAAACATAACAAATTTAATCCCCTAAATGTATAAGGGATTATTTAACGCAATTATTGTACATAAACCACAAATTGTATATTTGCTGCAGATTGGTGCGTATATTAGCTTCAGCAGCCATTCTATTTTAAACAGAGTCACAAAAAGTAGAATATTTTTTTTATGATAAGCATGAGATGTAGATTCTAAGACTTAAATAATTATATTTTATCGATAATTAATGGATACGGACAATCTGACAAAGAGTCGCCGCAATTATGCTTGATGTTTTGTAAATAACAAATGAACCAACGTCTATGCCATTATCTTATATATAAAATTCTCGTGTCACAGTTTTCGTTCCCATACTCCTCCGAAACGGCTTGACCGATTCTTATGAAATTTTGTGAGCGTATTGAGTAGGTCTGAGAATCGGCCAACATCTATTTTTCATCCCCCTAATTGTTAGGGGTAGTCCACCCCTAAATTTTTTTTTATTTTAAGGTAAAACAACGTTTGCCGGGACAGCTAGTTATAGTAATAAAGATTTTCTGATTTTCTAATATAATTATAGCATAAAAATAATAAATATTATCTTTATTCTGTAATAACTAAATATTGTTCTAACCGCGTATCTACTATGTAAACAATATTATGTAATTATAATTTACTTTGTACTGTCTGATAGAGATAAGATAGAGTATATGTAGGTATTGGTTTACCTCTTTTTCTAATTAAAGCTATTTATAATTTATACCAAAAAAAAATCTATTTGAATTGAATCCATAGATACTGACTGACTAAGTGATATGTGCTATAAATCAAAAAAGCACAATATACTTATTATGCTACTTCATGCATGTATTAATATTCTACACTTATCTTTATATCCTAGTCTTCAAGGTGTTTCTATTTCCAAATACGCTAGGTATCGAACAGACAGCAAATTTTGTCGCTTTCATGTTATTCAAAATTTTGGTAACTGCTGCAAAGAATGACACCAGGCAACAATTAAAATCAGCATACAACTTTCTGAATTCTGAAAATATATACCTATCAGTGTTAGCAAGATTATACAAGAGGTTTCTCTACTTTCGTTATAAATAAAACTAGAAATATTAATTTTAGTTATTTATTAAGCTATTTTTTATTAACTACTTCCTTTGAAG